AGCGAATTTAGGGATTCATATACAAATCTTTAAAGTATTGTATAAATTATTAAAATGCAGCGACATATACAAACGAAAATTGACATAGCAACTGGAACTATAACTATGAAACATAACTAGGCAAACTGTAGCTAATGAGACTTGTTATGTTTCATCAATTAGGTATTTTATGAAATTTTCTCTTAAGAATTTCCACATCAAAAAGGTATGGGAATTTAGTCTCCTTACATAGACTTGGACAATTCTACCCTCACGAACTAGATTTTGAGGTTGAGTTAGACCCAAGATCCATCCTTACAACTTTGATTGATGGGATAAGAGATCAATGATAATTTCATGGGATATTCTAAAATGATAGGATTAACTATCACATAAAAAAAAGTGGGATAGCTAAATTCGTGAGATATCGTTGTTTATCATATGTCACATGTCACATATCAAACGAACCTTAAATACCTTTCTTGTAGGACATATTACCACTCTTTAATATATATTATGTAGTATTTTTAGCCTAGGCACACCCCTTGAAAAATTCACTCACTCGTGCAAAGTAATAGGTGGTTTCACCAAAATTCACCTATCTAAATAAGGATAAATTTAGGAGAAAAAAAAAAAGCCTAGGCACTATCTCTTGCAATTGATTCATCAGGATTGCTATCAAGCAAACAACTTGCGAGTAACATAAAAAGGCAGCTTGCAAGAAGCTTGCAATCAAGAAAGCAGCTTGCACAAAGCTTGCAATAAAACAGGTAACTTGCTAACAACTTTATGAAAAATCTCATTTCTTTTATGAAATGATTTGCCGATCCCTGCACAGTTGCTCCTATGAGAACTGAAGGTCAAAATGAGGAAGCAACTGGCGCTCCACTATTCTGAATTGGCGTTCTACCGGTCCAACGCAAGTCCAAAGAGGGAAGCTGAAGGGCATAAACATAAATATGAAAGTCAGCGCTTCCTTTCGAAGATACCAAGGATATAATGGAGATTTGTGTAATTATGTAGTTTGATCTTCTTCCCGATTAGGAATAGTCAGTAGAGACTTTTTTTCAAGGAAAAAAAATATTCATAGAGCATAGTGAAGAACTCCTTAGCTTGTATAGGAAGAAACCTCATATTTTTATCACTCTACACTTGGATTTCAATTTTTTTTTAATCACATCAGCTTGAAATAGAGATTTCCTACATGAGTATTGTCTCTGTTTCTTCTTTTATGAGTAGCTAAATCCTTAGCTAGGAGTATGTATTTGATTGGGGTGTAAAACACCGAATGGATATTGATATTTAATCAGTTGTAAAATTGATTGTATGACCTGGATATGTTGTTGTCGACAATTTAACCTAAAATCGATGGTTGCAAATATTGATTGAGTTCTCCAACGTCGTTTTGACTTGAGAAAGTAAAATGGAGTTGACTAAGATTCAATAGTGAGGACTTGTTGAAATTATTCTATGGGTTTGAGACAGGGATGTGATAATCCGAGTAATTTCTTATTTAATGATATGAGCTACATATAGTCTATCTACTCAAGCAATGTTTGGTTTTTATTGAAAAGGGTTGTGGAGTTCGAGAGAATCCAAGGGACATACATTTGATAGTTCGAGAGAATATCGAATGTAGCCTATATCAAACACTATTCATGTATCAATCGATTTTGTTGCGATTAATCTTTTTCTATTCATGTTAAACTCCAATCGTTATGCAGACACCCCTAGTCTCTTCCAATCTTGGTAGATCAAGTCTGTGTTGATTTCCCATTTTGTTACTTGATATTGATAAATTTTAATTGTCACTATCCCCCCCCCCCCCCCCACCCCCAAGTGTGTGTGTGGGGAATCAATTGAATGTGCTTCCGTCTTTCAATTCTTGTGGTTTGACTTCGACCTTTAAAGCTGAATATTGTTTAACATAAGGGTGGATGTACATGGAGGTTACCAAACCCTCTTCCTTGAAAATGTATATATAAGATCAAATTCTGTTTTTATGAGTATATATATTAAAATGAATCCCCTCAACATATATAAAGAGGCTAACTTAGTACTTAAGGGGGTTCATGAAATCGCCTCAAGTCTCAGCGTCTTGGGTTCGATTTCATCCAACAGTTCTTTCCTCTATTTTTGTCCCTAGATAGCAAAATTGAGATGGGCTCAACATTTAGGGTCAAAATTTTAGTCCAAAAAAGCTTTATTATTTTTGGGCTGAAGCTTAATCTATTCTTTTTCTTTATTATTATTATTATTATTATTATTATTATTATTATTTATTATGCTATTTCTCCTTCTCAATTTTCAGTTGTTCAAATTTATCAGGCGCGCTATTTTTATTTTTGTATTATATTCTTTTTTTTATCTCTATTGATCATTTTATTTTTATGTAACTCTCTTTATACTAATTCAAAGGAACTCATCAATGATTTTTAAACTTGAAACTAAAATAGAAAAATATATTTTAAAATAAGGTTAATTAAATTTAATCAATCGGAGAAGTTTGAAAGGCATGAATATTCATGATATTTCTTTCTTATCTTTTTAAGTTCTATTCTAGAGAGATGTAAACTAAATTTATTTGATTCATTCATCACTTTTTTTTACATATGAAAAATCTTATAAATTGAATAAATGAACTAAAAGTCGGTGATCCCATTTATTTATCCTTTTATATTCTTTATAATATTAGTAACTCAATTTTCACGTACATATTTTTTTTAAAAATATTAAACAATTTTCAAAGTAATATATGATTAAATGAACACTAACTTATTTATTTTTTAAAATTCAAAATAAAGTAGTACACTACAAAGTTAAAAAAATCACAGTTTTTTAAAAAGACCCAATAAAGCATGGGTAAAAATAGGAAGAAACGCTAAATGCGGCATGACAAGACAAATTAAATTTAGAGGGTTAAGGTTAACTTTTTTCTTCCTCAATTCGTTTTGATCCATTTTTCGGTTTACTTTTTGATATGTAGAACCCTCTCTACAAAAATCCTGATTTCGCCTCTAGTTTTACACACGATCGCCTATGCCTTGAAAAATGGGACATAGTTAAGCGTTTATCACTATGTAAAGTTATATCACAAATTTAGCTTCAAAAGACACTTACTTTAATTCTTTTGCTAAACATTCCACAAACTTAGCTTCAAAATTTCCATTCATAAGCAGAATGATCCAAATTTTTGAAGTTCCAAATGCCACACTATTTTGGATATCGATTTGAGCTGTTGTGAATTTTTTATCAGATTATCCGCCTTTTAATTTATATAGACAAGTTGGTCAAATGAAATAATAACTACTTTGAACAAAGCATAAAACTTCAATATTATCACTTACACCAATAAAAATAGGCGGAATGATCTGGGAGGCCCCTGTACTTGACTCCATTTGTTAGTTGAACTCTTCTACTCATCACTTTGCCAAATGAACCCTTAAACTCGATGAAACTCTATTTTCTAAACCCCTCTGACCATTGACCGAGCTTATGTGGCATTAAAATGATTAAGTTGGACAAATGTGTGACCACATGCGTTTTAAAGCAAGTGAATGCAATATTTTTATTTTAAAATTACCAAAATTATAAGACAAAATAATAATAATAAAATAATAAATTAAAAAAAGAAAAAAAAAATCTCAAAACCTTTCTTCTTCGGCCCACCCCACCCCACTCCTTCTCTCTTCTTCTTCAGCCCCACCCCATCCTTTCTCTTCTTCTTCAGCCCCAACACCGCCCTTTTTCTCTTCTTCTTCAACCCCAAACCCCCGCCCCTACCCCTTTTCTATTCTTTTTCTTTGACGTACACCCCATTATCATAATCATCAAATATAAAATTAAAAAAAGCTTTTGCAAGAAAAGATCTCATTCACCATTTCCATAAATTTAAGATCTATTGCTTGAATTTACTCATAAATATATTTTTCCCAACTTGAAGTTTTCTTGATTTTTTTTTATCAAATCAAAATAAATAGAACCTAAAGCATGTGCAAGAGCTAATTACAATTTATCATATTTTATGATTGAGAAAACTTTTGAGTGTGAACTGTGAAAAACTTTTGAGTGTGAACTGTGAAGAAAAATGAATATGATGGTTTTTTATTTTTGGGGTGAGGGTAGAGCGTGGGTGGGAATGAAGAAGATGAAGTAGGAAGGGGGAAAGAGAGAGAAAATTGCACTTTATATTTTTTAATATTATTTATGTTTAAAATTTAATTTCTGACGTGTCATTGGAATAATAATAATAATAATGACGTGTCATTAAAAAACGACGTGGTATATTATGTGTAAAATGAGTGTATTACATGCACACATATCAAATGAGAAAGGAGTTTAGAATATTGTGTTTCAATGAGTTTGAGGGTCAATTTGGTAAAGTTATAAGTACAAGGGTCCAACTTACAAACAGAGCCAAGTACAAGGGTCTCTCAGGTCATTCCGCCATAAAAATATATTATTTTTCTACAAGTATCCTCTGAGAGTTTTTATATTTTGAGCTATCGACTCAAGGATGCACAATTAGAATTAGAAATCACATAATGCATATTTAGATACTTGAAGCAAAATGTTAGTAGGCGTTTGGATATGATCTCAAATCACATTGAAACGAAGTTGAAATGTTGTTTGAACATACAATTTGGGTCTCAAAAAGTATACTTTTTCTCATAAACATAAAAAAATTGCAGCTGGTGAAAATTATCAAAACTTTTCAATTTCTTATTATCTTATAAAATGAGCAAATCATAGTTTATAAACAATGTATATGTCACACTAGTAAATAACATATCTCCATATTTCTTTTATAAGTTTATGATTAAAAACTTTCTTCTTTTTATAAAAGAAAAATACAATTTGCAATTACCTATTATTACAAACTTAGAGTATTAATGTTCCAAGTGAAAAAATATGTATCAATTTGAGTCTAAATAATAAAAAAGAATAAATGATTTTAGACTTTTTTTTCTCAACCCCCAAATACCCCTAGGGAAAAAGAAAGAAAAACGACATTGTTTAGAGCGTTTATAGCTTAACACATAAGGCATAACCGGGTTACCGCATTTAGCTACCTCGCGAGAGGAAAATCCCAATTCAAGAACCCTACACTTCCCTCAAAACCCTCATAGACCCAGAAAGAGCACTTCACAGATCCATCGGACGCTGAATCAAGATGTATTACAGAGGGTAAGCATCTAATTCTTCTTGTAATGTTCCGATTTTTTGTTGGGTATCTATAATTTTGATGGAATTTCTCTTATAGATTGTATTTTTTGATTGTTTTCTCTAAGTGGGTCGAAAGTGTTCGATTCACTCTTGATACATTCTAGTAAACGAAGGGCAGCCATGAGATACCCACTTAGAAATTTGCCTTTTTTTTTGTGAATTTACTCTAGCATAGTTGGCCAAAATGAAATTGAACGCTTACCCACCAAAAAAAGAAACTTTTTTTTGATCATTTTGGATGTAAAAGAGAAGCTTATATTTGCTTTTGTATGTGTACGCCTTTAGAGGTAGTGGTAACTGATTGATACATGTAGTATGATAGTGGGTGGAAGGGTTTGGGTTTTAAGTGAAGGGAAATCAATATAATCTTGTTAAGTTTGTTTGACTTGTTCTTTGGTCTGTCTGCTATGTTCATTGTTCTATCTTTTTTATTCTTAAACTGGATAGGATAATGCCTGTTTTGTTGATTTTGCGTTGAATACTGACAAAAGGGTTGCTTTCATTTTGATTTGATGAAGAAACTACATGGATGGTGGCGATGCCCGTGAAATGGGCTTCAAAAGGCAACGCATAATGGATCAAGGTTCCTCTTATTATGCTACTCCTCCAGGGTCAAGCTATATGTACAATCCTCCTCCTCCTCCACCTCCCCCGTCATACTCTTACCATGGACAGCCTCCACCATTCCCTGTTGTTCGACTCCGTGGCCTCCCGTTTGATTGCTCAGAGACTGAGATTGCTGATTTCTTGCATGGTTTGGATGTAGTTGATGTGCTTCTTGTCCACAAAGGTGGAAGATTTACAGGGGAAGCATACTGTGTTTTGGGGTACCCTCTTCAAGTTGATTTTGCTCTTCAGAGAAATAGGCAGAATATTGGACGAAGATATGTTGAGGTTTTCAGAAGCAAGAAGGAGGAATACTATAAGGCTATAGCCAATGAAGTTTATGATTCTCGTGGTGGTTCAGTTCCGAGGGCTAGATCTGCTGATGAAAGCAAAGACCTTGCAGAACACACTGGCGTATTATGGCTGAGGGGGCTGCCATTCTCAGCTAGCAAGGAAGATATTATTGATTTCTTTAAAGATTTTGAACTTCCAGAAAAATCAATCCATATAACAGCTACTTTTGAGGGTAGACCTACAGGGGAAGCATTTGTTGAATTTGCTAGTGCAGATGATTCAAGAGCTGCAATGGCCAAGGATAGGATGACAATAGGGAATCGCTACATAGAGCTTTTCGCTTCATCGTCTGAGGAGTTGGAGGAAGCAGTTTCAAGGGGCAGGTGAGTGCTCAATTGTGCATTTTAGAGTAGTATTTGATATGCTTTATCCTCTCCATCTGGTAATATCATGTCTATTACCATAATCATTGGTTTAGTTGCGAGATTTTTCTTCCTTGCTCCCCCTCCCCCCCAAATACTGGTAGGAAAAGTAGAGCAAGATTCATTGTTCTACCATGTAATGTAATGCAGATCGAAACCTCCACATCCATTTGCTTTATTTTTCACTGTAACAATTATAGTTTCACTACCACGAGATGAAATGGTAATCACAATTTCACACTTGTTGACAGGTGTTTCCTTTAACTTTGTTGGATGTCAAGAATGTTGTCAGTTGCATATTTTTTGAAAAATTCAGTTGCATATTTTTTGAAAAATTGACAGTTAAGTAGGCTAATAGGAAAAATATATTGTATGTCTTTGTTTGAATGGAAGTGAAGGTTAAACAAAAGATGTTATCTTCCTTCAAAATTTCTGCAAGTTTTGTAGTACCTGTTTTTAAAGAAAGTCTTTTTTGGTGGGAAATGGAGCATGTCTTCCAGAATTTTCTAACTTCCTATAAAGGAAAAATAATTACATGGAAGTTAGATGATTGGTATTTCCCTATGAAATGGTGCCAAATTCAATATTTTTAATTGTTTTAGTTGGAACATTATTTGTAAAGGAATAATGGATTGAGAAATGCATGGGGATGCTTGAAGAGTACATCTGCATCACTCCATTTTATACGGCACTCTTTCCATTTTGGTTCAGTTAAAAAAGTTTGGCAACTTTTTCATTATATAGTAAATAGGGAAGAAAGAAAGAACAATCAAAAATAAAGAAAAAGAAAGACTGATTGGCTCCTTTCTATTAACTTACTTTTACAAACTCTGTTCATTTTAGCATTCACATTTTTTGCTCAATGGCATTTCTTATATGGATGACTTGTGATGTTGAAGAACACAAGATTCTCATGGTACATTTGGTATGTTAGGTATTTTTTTAAGCTTATATGTTGAATTCTTTCTTCATTTCTTAGATCCAGGAAAACACTGTTATATAAGATGAACCAGGGGGAATACATTTTGTGCTTTTATAATTTGAGTACCCTTTTCCTTTACTTTCACTTCACCTGGCCAGTTGCACTGTTTTACAATAAAGAAAGATAAATACTCTTCACAATGAGTGAATTGTCCAGTAGTTCTCTCATAATTATGAGTTTTCCTGGATGTCAACCCTTGCATTTATTCTTCTTAGATAATGGAGTATCAGCTGTCACATGATTCGAAATTCGGTGGATAATGAGTCCATCCTATCCTTATCCACTTAAATACCTGTATTTTGTTTTTTGAGGGTTCAAACTTGTGACATGTGCCAGAGTACACATCACACACTGCCTTCCTACTACTAGAACAAATCCTTGGGGACTCTGCCTTTTACTGCTTTTCTATTAGTGCAAGTCTCTAAAATTTTATAAAATGCTCTTGATAGCTGGAATGGATATATGTGAAGAAGACATCTCTGAAGTTTGTGTCTTGATGGAGGACTAAGTAAATGAGACTAATAAGTTTAAGCATTGGGTCAATGGCATTCTCAACCAGTCAACAGTCAACACTAGGACAGTCAAGTAACCGATTGCAGTTACCAGTAGACTATATGTTGAGCTTAAATTTTTTATAGTTGGTGCTAACTTTTGTATCTCTCTGTTGATTAAAATCCCCTTGTATCTAATGTTACATTTTACAGAGACTATCAATATAGTAGAGTACTGTAATAAACAAATTGCTAATATTATAACTAATTTAAACTTTTCATATCCAGAATTCTAATATTAATTCAGCTCGTCAAATTGAGATTCAAAGAACATGTGGCTTTTTGTTTGAATCATTTTTGCATTGTTATTCGGAAGGCACACTCTTTGAAGTGCAACACTCTCCACTCATGAAGTGTTAACCCCTTATTTTGCATGGCTTCATTGCTTTTAGCATGAAATGATAGCTATTAATAACAGTGTTCTCAAGGGCACAATTTTTTGTAGAATCATTATAAGGACTCCAAAGCCAAGTGCATAAGGCGTTATTTTTCTTTATCAGTATTATGCATCATAAGTATTCTATTGCAGTGTTACTAGCATCAAGCAATAAATTGAGTGGCAAGCCCACTAGTCCTCTTCTACTATTTCTTGCATCTGCTGGGATGAGCAAAAGAAGGGTCTCTTGACATTAGCAGTTAAAGAGACTTTGCTTCATTGGCCCGCTGTATTGATTTAACTTTTTCACTGTTCCCATGTTTTATTCACGAACAAGCACTAAGGAAGTACAACACAAGTTACTCATGTTATAGCTCCAATGAGCAACTAAAAGACCTCTCATATTTATCTTTTCCTTTGATAATCTCGTACTTCAACCAAAAATTCAGAATGTTAAACAAGAAGAATTTGTGTAGTCAAGTGTGTTTTTTTGTCCCTTAAACCATCTCCTATTTCTCTGTCACTACAACATTGCTTTGTTTTTAGAGGGTTTAGGTTGATGTTCACACCTTGTGAGTGCAAAGAATTGATTGTTGAGTGGTGAATGATTGACCCATTTTAACCCTCTCAAATTCAGCCCAACCCACTCATTTGATGCCTGTAGTCTCTTGGAGCCCTTTTATCCTTTGCTAAACTTCTAAGCCTTTTGGACGGTAATCACTTTTTATGTAATCAGAGATTCTTTGCCTCCAATGCCCCCTCCGATACTCTTGACAAATAGTTCATTATGTTGTTTGTTTGAGGTGAGTCTCCTAAGTTAAGGTTAAAGATTAGGGTTTTGAAAGTTTCTAGTTATTAATGTGATGAAGCGAGTCAAAAAGGAGCAGACTGGATATAGATTATTCATACAACCTATTTTAACTAGTTCAGGATTGAGCATTATCTCTGCAGTTGTTGGTAACAATGCCTCCCCTCAACCCTTGGCAAGGGCCAATAGTGGCTTTTCCCTAGTTGCCATCTCGGTTACTCGAATTCCTAACCTCATGGTTGGAGGAGAAGGGTCCTTCCCCTAGGTTTTCTCTCTCCTCTCTTGGTTCCATTTTTAATTTATTTTTAACTATCTTTGGGTGGACAAGATACAAAGTTATATCTTATAACTCTTCTAGTTTATGTTTCTGATAGGGTTTGTCATCAAGCCTTCCCTTTCTGTATTTACTGTTAGCATGTTCTTTATGCAGATGATTTTTGAAGCTTTGCTTTAGTTGCAATGATACATATATTAGTAGTGATACTCCATTTTGTTCATGGTCAAAACCTTTGGTCTGTAGACTGTATGTTCCACCAAAATAGTTGATAATTTAATTGATAAACTACCCTTGTGAAAAGGGGATTAACCATGTTGATTTTGTTGTTTTTATCATGTCTGCAAACATATACATGACTTCAATGATCTTTTAGCTGTTTGCTTTCCCTGAGGAAAGCACATCTTGTGATGGAGCTCATTAGGGAGAAAACCCCAGAAGTGAATACCATGATAAAGAGGAAGATACCTCTTAGCTCTGGTTGATGGGGATATGGGTTTGTGTAAATTTGGTAGACTACCCATCGCCTATGATGCTAGTTAGGTTGTATAATCTTCCTAGCGTGGACCTGCTGCATTGCAATAGTGAAGACATGTCTATTTATAATGTGTCCTATGACTTTGGAGAGCGCTTTTCTAGAGAAACGGTGGGCGATTTTATGAAATTTGTATGTATGAACTTAGAATATTTTAGTAGCATCTATCTGCATTTTTTTTTGGCGTCAAGAAATTGGTGACAACTTTGAAGGTAAGGCCCTTCACCAAATGTATCTGTACCACAATATAGGTGTAGCTAAGGGAAACCATGTGAGGCTTTGAACAGTGAGGAAGGAAATGGATTTACTGAGAGCAATTGGTGGATAATGCTCCACCTACATGTTGCTCACGTTTTCCCCCTTCTGTACAGCACGATGGTTGTGCATGTGGAAACAAACAGACTAATCCCCTTTGGAGCTCATTAATGAGTTAGCATGTAGGAAAAAATGAGAGAGCAGTCAACATGCTTGAACCTCCTTTTTTTTTTATTTTTGTCGTGCATTTTGCCTTTCTCAACTCTTATGCTGGAAGTGGATAAGTTCACTTTTATCCGATTGTCATTTCTTGGGTTAACCCCCTCCAATGCACATTGATTTTGAAGATTGGTCTTGGGGTTTTCTGAATTATTTACTGACCTTTTCTTTTTTGGAAAAGGTAACAAAGAATTACTTTTCACTTTTGACTCTATTTTGAGTCTCTGCTTGCTTATTTGTTCCCTAAGTTTTCCACCTCCTTGCGCTGAACTTCCAAAAATGTAGTATGTGATTTCTAACAAGTGTGCCCATGTAATCTCTACAAACATCTCAAGATATATCTTTTTGCACACTGTATCAGAATCAATACCTATATATTTTAATGAAAGCATCAGAAAGGCTAATTCACTCTACAGGCAGAAAGTTTAGGAGTTTTGAATTATCGGGATCAGAGATGACTCAGCAAACCTGTCAACTTTCCTAGTCCTTGCCTTTATTGTACCTAACTTTCCCCATGCATTCACCATATGTTCAAGCATATTTCTTGGTGGTTTTACTGATATTGTGCTGTTTGAAGTATATGAGAGATTATATAACCTCTTGTAACATGAAAATGTATTGATATGACTATATGTGTTTAACATGCAAATGTGTGTTCCATTCTCAAAAAAAACAACAACATGCAAATGTATTGATGTGACTACGTGTTTATCAGAGTACTGGAGAAACCAGTGGATGGGAGAGACCCGAATGAAGTCACGTCTATTTTGCGGATGAGGGGTTTGCCATTTTCTGCCGGCAAGGATGACATCATGGATTTCTTCAAAGATTTTGCGTTGACTGAGGATGCAATTCATGTCACATTTCTTTCTGATGGAAGGCCAACTGGAGAAGCTTTTGTAGAGTTTGCAAGCACCGACGATGCAAAAGCAGCCCTGGCAAAGGATAGGATGACACTTGGAAGTCGTTACGTTGAGCTTTTCCCATCTTCAATCGAGGATATGAATCACGCCGTATCAAGGGGGCGGTAATGAACTTTATTTTTCCTTAGTTAATAATCGTAATGTTGTAACTTGGGGATTTGGTGCTAGTTTTCTGCGAGGACGACTCTTTATTTGTCACTACAGGAGATAGAAAGAACTTTAGGGAACTTCTGCAGTCATCATCTGTTTGCTCTTAGTTTCATGAGTTTATGGTGTTACTATTTATGTGAAAAGTACTCATTAAACCTTAAACAAGAATATGTTGCTGCTTGATACACTCATGAGTCTTTTTTATTTATATTTTTTTTAGTCTCTTTTTGCCTGAAACACTCAGATTCGACAAGAATATGTTGCTGGAAAAATCAAATTATCAGTTGTTTTTTTCTGCAGATGCTGTTGGGATGTTTATGAAATGGAAGAACTCTACAATATTGGACATTCTAGTTTTGAACCTTTCTAGTGCCTATTGGGAAGTGTTTAGGATTGTCCTGGAATAAGTTGCAAACCTTTAATCAATATTTCAATAAAAATGCTTTTAGAAAATTAGTAGCAATGGGGAAAATTTTAAAATAGTGATAGAATGATGCAATTACCTTGCATAATGATAGTTTAGCATAATGATAGTTTAGATAATTACCAAATATAGCAATAGTTTTTGAAATTTGATCTATATTAGTGATACAATAATTTACTCTGTGTCAGTGATACATCAACAAATATGCTAACTATGAATAGGAAGCAGGAGCTATTATGTTAAAAAATTTAGGGGGTTACAAATCTCTTATACTACCATCAATCGACAAAGCGGAACGATTAGAAAAAGAAGTTAAGTTAGAAAGTTGTATGATAGGTGGTAACTATCTTGTACGGATTTTTGGCTCTATCGAACATACATGAAATTGGAGGTAACATTCTACCGATGTCAAGTCATGGACTAATTTCTTCAGCCCTTTTTCTATGTGTTGGTGTTCTATGATTGATATAAGACTCGACTTGTTAGATATTACAGAGGTTTAAGTGAGGGCAAATTGATGTATTTTAGCGAAAAAAGAGTTTTAGAAATTGATGTATCACTACTACAAAGAAAATTTGAGAAGCTCTTGTTATGTTTTGTAGTTTGACGCAAGCGTTGAGTTAAAGATTGATATAATCCTTTCTTTAAACTATCATCAACTATCACCAACTCACTAGCCATAACCATCACCCTTTGCCACAGTCAATACTGTCATAATCACTATCCTCTCCACTATTTACAATCATTATCATTACCCAATATTACCATAACAATCCTCTGTCACTACCATCAAGGATTGTTATATATTGCTAGCTATCATATCAATCAACACTTTTATCAGTAGCTATCACTATCATCCAACATATTTATTACTAACCACCTGTCACTATCGACAAACACTGCTAAGTATTGCCAACTATCATTATTTACCAATTACTATCATTACCTATTACTATCATCCAACACAATTATCAACAGCCGTTAAGGCCACAACCAAAATCATCACCATTAACAACTATTGCAGGTCAAATCATCACCACTAACTACTATCCACAATCACCACCATCAACCAATCCACCACTAATAACAATCGCTAGTCAATGCCCATAGCCTTCATCGTTACTACTACCACGACCGACGATTGTATTTTTAGAAATATTTAATTAATATAACATTAGATTAATTATTATTTTACTTAAATTTTATATTTTCAAATAAAGTCAGTTTTTAAATAACAAATATTGAGAAAACAAACTGTCTTAATTATTTATTTTTCAGATCTTAATATATATCCTTTTCATATTCAAATGTGTATTTAAATTCAAATGTTCTAATCTCAATATCGTAATCTTAATATTCAGATTTAAACGTTCTAATCTTAATATACATATTTTAATATTCTAGTGGGCATTCAAATTAAAAATGTTCTAACTTTAATATAAATATCTTAATATTCAGGTGTGAATTTAGATCACTAACATAAATTGGATCCATGGGAACATACTTACTAGTAACCATTACAAAATCATTGCTATAACATGTCTAGTGAAACGATTATGACTATTGTCATTAGTGACATCAAATGAGCAGATTTTTTTCTTATAAATAGAGCACTTATGCTCATTTGTAAGGACACACCAAAATAGAGAAGCCCTAGAGAGTAGAGAGAGTAATCTACAAACTATTTCTTAGTTTGTGAGAGAATAATGTGGAAGTAATAATATTGTGAGTTGTCAGAAATAAAAGAGTGTTGAGTTGTAGTCTTTTGACACTATTAAGTTTTTCATCAATATTATTGTAGTACTTATTCGGGTATCATATTTACCCCATTTTAATATTTGGTGTCGTTGTTACTCTCTTTTGATTGCTATTTAATTTGGACATTATCCTGGGTATGATTATCATTTTGTCCAACAATGTGGTATCAGAGCCATGACAAATAATCTTTAACTTTAACTAATACTAATAATTTATTTAATTTTTGTCAAGGTGAAATATTTTGTCCATATGATATGTGATGCGACAATTTTAAAAATAAAATAAAAGAGAGTTTATTACACACATCATGATGAGAGTGTAATAAAATAGAGAAATGTATTTCTCAAACTAAGAAGTGATAGTTTATGTATGAAACTCACACTGTCAATAGTTTAGATATGAAACTCAAAAAAGAAATAGTTTATGTGTATTTTTAACCCTTATCTCTATTATTTTCTATTTTTAAACGATAATAACTATGTTTTTGATATAATTATTTCAATATGTATTTGAAATAGAAGTTGTCGAAGAACAAATACAACAAGAGCCAAGAGATTTTCTCATTCTAGAAGGAGAAGATATACAAGTACAAGTACAAGAAGAATCAATAGATTCTGAAGAAAGTGATTTATTCATAGAACAAGGTAATAATATGCAAATATTCTTTTCACTATCGAAACATTTTAAATTGTTGTTTAATATGTTGTTTAACGTTGTTTCATTTGTAGGTCCTTAGAGTCAAAAGAAAAAGAAATGAGGTACAATAATATAACGTGTACGCGCTTCAAAGTATCGTCAAGTCATTATTTTGAATAGGTACAAACAATCAATTGGTCCTACAAAAACAATAATAACAGAGATGATCGAATCTTTGGCAATAAATGCTATGTTTTATCCTTTTAATATACACAAATAAAGTAATGTGGCTATGAATTAAAATCATTAAGGTCCGATAGAGGAGACGAATTCACTTCAAAAGAATTTAATGACTTTTGTCAATCTCATGGAATTCGTCGCCCTCTAACGATACCTTACACTCCCCAACAAAATGGAGTTGCAGAAAGAAAGAATAGAACAATTCTCAATATGGCTAGATGTATATTGAAAGCAAAATATCTATCAAAAGAATTTTGGGCCGATGCTATTTCTTGTACACCTTATTTGAGCAACAGGTCTCCAACAAAAAATGTACGAGAAATGCCTCAAAAAACATGGAGAGGAAGAAAGTAAAATGTCAAACACTTGAGAATCTTTGAGAGCATATCATATGCTCATGTTCCACATCAAGGGAAAGCTAAACTTGACGATCATAATGTCAAGTATGTGTTTGTTGGCTATGAAGTGAGCTCAAATGGCTACAAATTGTACAATCCAAGCAATAACAAAGTGGTGGTGAGTCGTGATGTTGAATTTGATGAAGAAGCATTATGAAATCGAGAGATTTTGGAAGAAAGAACATATTATTTTCTTCCATATTTTGGAGATGAAGAAGAGTAGGAGACCATGACACCAATATATGATGCAACCCCACCTCCTTCACCAGCAAATGTTGCATTTCCGTCTACTCAAAATAGTTCAAGTAAAAGACCACATAAGATTAGGAGCATCCAAGAACTCTATGATGACACAAAAGAAATTACTAATTTTGATTTTTTGTGTTGTCTCTTTGCTGTTAGTGAACCAATGAATTTTGATGGAACTGTTTACTGACAAAAGGTGGAGACAAGCTATGGAGGAGGAGATCCAGTCAATAGAGAATAACAATACTTGAGAGTTAACAACTCTACCCAAGGATCATTGAGTAATTGAAGTCAAATGGGTATACAAGGCGAAAAAATTGCTTAAGGATAGGTAGATAGATACAAGGCAAGGCTTGTGACTAAAGGTTACAAAAAAAGGCATGACATCAACTATGAGGAAGTCTACGCGCTTGTTGTCAGCATGGAGACGATCTGTCTATTGATCTCTTTAGCGGCACAAATGAAGTGAAAGATCCATCAACTAGATGTCAAATCGGCATTCTTGGGATATCTCGAAGAAGAAGTCTATGCTAAGCAACCGTTGGGCTTTGTGGTTAAAAATCATGAATATAAGGTGTTGAGGTTGAAGAAAATCTTATATGGGTTGAAACAAGCTCCACAAGCTTAGAATAGTCGCATTGACAAATACTTTCAAGACAATGGGTTTACTCGTTGTCTCCATGAATATGCTCTTTACATTAAAGTTCATAATAATGGAAATATTTTACGTATTTATCTTTATGTTGATGATCTCATTCTAACGGGTAACAACCCAATTTTATTTGAAACTTTCAAGAAAGCTATGTCCTTTGAGTTTGAAATAATGGACATAAGGCTCATGCTATATTACTTGGGCCTAGAAGTGAAGCAAATGGAGGAAGACATCTTCATATATCAAGAAAACTATACAAAAGAGATTTTGAAGAAGTTCAACATGTTTGATTGCAACCATGTGAACACCCCAATGAAAAAAGGAACAAAATTATCAAAGTTTGATGATGGAGAAAAAATGGACTCCACTCAGTTCAAAAGTCTCGTAGGAAGTCTGATGTACTTGACATGTACGAGACCAGATATACTCTTTGCAGTTGGAGTAGTAAGTCGCTTCATAGAAGTTCCTACCTTCACTCACTTAAAGGTCGCTAGAAGAATTTTACGTTACTTAAAGGGTACAATCGATCTTGGACTATTTTATTCTTCTTCTGATGATTTTAGTCTTGTGGGATATTGTGATAGTAATTATGCGGGAGATATTGATAATAGAAAAATCACATCTGGTTTTGTGTTATTTCTTGGAGGTCAATGAAACAATCAATTGTTACTCTCTCGACTTGTAAAGCTGAATACATGGCATCGACATCATGTACGTATCATGCTATTTGGTTGAGGAGATTGTTGAAGAAACTCAATTTGCCGCAAATTGAAGCAACAATGATTTGTGTTGATAAAAAATCCGCCCAAACACTTGCCAA